ATTTCTTTGTTTTTTTAATTATTTCAAAAAAATCATTGTTTTATTTAATCATAAAAATCAGTAAAATCACAAAAAAAAAGGATTTAGGTTTTTTATTAAAAATTAAGTTTGTAAATTAATTTAATGAAATCATTTTGATTTTTTTCTTTAAAATAAATCAATTAGACCTAGGTTTAATTGCAAAAATCTTTTTCTTCAAAAATATCAAAAATATCAAAAATATTAGTTTTTTTATTCATAATTTTTTTTTATTATTAATAATTTATCCAAAAAAATTATTAGAATATTAGGTTAAATTTCAAATCTTTTCATAAAAAAATCCCAAAAATATTTTCAATGAGCAAATTAGATTTTTTAGGGTTTTGAACTTTTTCCAATTTTAACTCTCGTGCGTTATTATTTTGCCGTTCGATTACATTTTTATTATTATTGATGTAACTGCGCCCAATTTGTAATAGCTTAATTAGGGTTTACAATTTTCCGCACTTTATTTTTCGTTCATCATTTATGTATCTACACCAAAGCCCTGTAATAGTTAGGAAATTTATTTTTTTCCGCAATTTATTCTCCCGCATGATAAACTGCTTAGATGAATGGTTAATAGGGTTGCATGGAAAGATAACGATTAATTGAACATAGATAACCCTAAATGCGCAAGATAAATGAAGAGAATCAAGCACACTTGCACATGCTCACCCCTAGGGTATCTCTCACTTTGGTTGCCTTTGAATACGGTCACAATTCTTGAAACGTGAGAATTATTAGTGGTTGTCCTTGAGTCTAAGAGATCATTAGTCCCTCAATGACCCTCTCGACTGTTGCCTCGGTTAAAAAGTGATCTTAGGGATTTAGGACAATTACTAAGAGTTTTTGCCCAGTTGCCTTTAGTGATCGTACATCCCTTTCGATAGTCCCTCAAACATTCGACAATAGGGCTACCTACTCACTAAGAGTAGGATAGCACTGTCTAAAGGGTAGGAGGAAAAGAACACCCTTTTTTCGAGTAGGTAGATAACTCTTAAGTACTTGCTCAAATCTTTTTTTTACACTTACACACTTTCAAACTTCTTTTCAAAAACGCTTTATCACACTCTTGAGGATTGATACAAGAGTTACCATAAAGCAAACAAAAATCTTTCAAAACATACAACACAAACAGTTTTCAAAAATGAGCAAGTACCTAAGAGCCCATGGAAAACCACGGATGGAAAGGGTGCTAATACCTTCCCTTTCCATAATCTACCCCCCTTACTCTGAAAATCTCGAAAAAGGTCTTTTTCTGTTCTTTACGCTCTTTCCTTTGTTGGATAAAAGAAAATTCGGTGGCGACTCTTGCTTACCGCGACACTTACGAACAAAAAACGCAAACCAGTATTAACAGTTGGTTCTACCACCGTATCACACTTACTAATTCTCCAACTGAGCTAATCCTCGTGGAAGAATTTTTCTTTATCCTTCCTTTTCCATCTCTGGATAGGATGAATCCATAATGAGTTGTTTCCTCATTGGGTGGAGTCTTGTTTGATTATTTTCTCCAGTTTATTCCTAGATTGAGTTTTGTCTCTTGCATAGTCTACCCTGTGGTTTTCTCTAGGCTGTGAAACATGGATGAAGAGCGTGTTTATTTTGCGCATTTTAAATACTTGGTCTCCTCAGGAAGGACCTCTTCATGGTTCCCTTTGAGGAAGAAATTTATTCCCTAGTAGTGTTATCACAACATTCTTCTAGAATATCGACGTGACAGCAAGCGGCGGTCTCTTTATGAGCAGCTTGTGTGTTATTGACATCTGTGGAAAACAACAAGTGACGGCCTCTTCGCGAGCATCTTATATGTTATTGACATCTATGGAAAATAACAAGTGGCGGTCTCTTCATGAGCAGCTTGTATGTTATTGACATCTTTGGAAAACCACAAACAACGGTCTCTTCATGAGAAACTCGTGAGTTATTAACATCTTTTGAAGAACAAAAAGCAGCGGTCTCTTTATGAGCAGCTTGTGTGTTATAGATATCCTTTGAAGACAATAAGTGGCGGTCTCTTCATGAGCAGCTTGTGTGTTATTAATATCCTTTGAAGACAGCAAGTGGCATCCTCTTTATTTGAGCAGCTTGTGTGTTTATTAATATCCTTTGAAGACAACAAGTGGCGGCCTCTTTATTTGAGCAGCTTGTGTGTTTATTAATATCCTTTGAAGACAGCAAGTGGTGGCCTCTTTATTCGAGCAGCTTGTGTGTTTATTAATATCCTTTGAAGACAACAAGTGGCGGCCTCTTTATTTGAGCAGATTGTGTATCTACAACCATATCTTATTTCACCAGCAAATGGTATCTCTCCAGAAAAGTCCCGCAGAGAAGTTTGTTATGAAATCTCTACCTTCAGTGAAAATCGATAGTTCGCTATCAGTAAAAGTTGATATATCTTTTGTCTACCTTTGACCTGAGTTGTAAACTCACCATCATCTTGGGTCAGTAACCATCTATCTTTTGCGGTCTATGCAAGGCGTTTTCTTTGTTAGAGTCTGAAAATTGTTTTCTCTCGAAGTTATTCCCCGATAAGAGTCTCTCCTTCGAAGTCTGTGGCTCTGTTTCTCCAGTAGAGTTATAATCTCTGCCACTGTGGATTATTTTATCATATGTTTGGTTTCTCCATCATTATTTTGTCTCATGCTTCATCATTCTCCACAAAATTCAAATATTACATTCATATCATAAACGCAATGGCGGTATCTTAGGGCCAAAAATTGTGTATTATGTATTTAAGTACCTTCAATCTCGTCGAGATGAAGATTTCAATCTTCATGTCTCCGGATAGAAGAAACTTAAATAGGGGAAGCTTTCATACCCCAATTTTTTACCTAAGATCCCATCTTCATTTTCATTTTTTCTTATATACATCAAGGCCACGAAATATGGTCGGTTTCAAACTTTTCACCTTCGAGCATTGCCTGTGTAGAGATTATCGAGTATTATGGACATTTTATCTTATGCATGACTAACTTCTAATCAAGCAAAAAGTGTATGTTTTTTTGTTTTTTTAATCTCATGTGCATAAAACAGGTCTAAATCAAGAGCATCAGGCGTCATGCCTCAACTAGGGTTTTGAGTCTCAAGCCAGAAGTACAGTTGATCATTGATTCTGGAAGATTGATTCATCAAGGGAACTTTCATAGAATCGTGTGTTTATTTCCACGCTCTATTCAACAAGTGGCCTCAAGTCTCTCTAAACTTCCTCAAAGAATTAGTCAAGGTTTCATGATCAATGGTTTACGTGTGTTTTACCCTTGCCTTGAAATACAAGAAAAGATCAAGCTATGCAAGTCAACTCCAAACGCTTCGACCAAAAATCATCTGTAAGTTTTCTTTAAAAGTTGAAGACGAGTTGTGTTTAGAAAGCCATGAGAAGACTTTATGGGACGTCTGTCATGATTTAAGAGTTTCTGGATCTTTAAGTTAAGTTCACTGTGCCATTTTCTCAATGTAATAACATTTCGCCTCAAATCCCTCTTCTAGTGATCATTCGAAGCTTTTAAGCATGGTTTTATTTCTTATACTTACATGACGTAGGGTGAATGTCGTTAGAGTGGGTGATTAAATTCAAGATCTCTTTGGAAGAATTTATTTGGAATACTTGAATTTTTATCATGTGAATTCAAGTGTTAATTAAATAGAGGTTATCAAAAGATCTCATTCAAGAATAATCGTTCATCACATTAAACATTTATTCAAGATTATTTTTGTGTGATCATTTTGATGGATTCACATCATGGCCATTTGAATTCACATGAAGCATTTATTCAAGAAGATATTGGAAAAGGAAATTTGATTCAAATAATCATTCATCACAAGAATAAATACATGATGGTTACTATTTTATTACAAGATCAATTCATGGAATTTATTTGGATCTCTATTACAAAATGCAAGATTGAAGTCTTAAAGCTTGCACTATTATTTACTCATCATTCAACAATTAATTCAAGCATCAATCATTCCTTTCCAATTCAAATGGAATATTTTGAATTTCATCAAGATGAATATCAAGATTCAAAGTTTATAAAGATCCAAATATTTACAATTATAAAAGAATTGAGAATTACATTGAAGAATACATTCATGTTACAAATTTATTTCGATTTATCATTACAAAATTACAAGGGATTACAAGTTTATACAAACTATTATTTCTAATGTCCTAATTCCATCCCAATATCATGTTGCTGCCCATATTTTCCAGCCATGTTGCAATGCAATAAAAGTCCACATTTGTAGTATTTTGCTGTCCAAAAAATACAGCAAATCAGCCCCAAAAATGCAGCAAAGACAGCAAGTAAAATAGTCCAAAACATGCTTCTAAAACTGCAAACAAAATAGCCTAAACATACAGCAACATCCTGCAAAAAGCTGCATCAAAATAGCCCAAAATTTGCATCAATATGGAAACTAAAAATTGCATGAACAAAGCATCAAAGCAGTTTGTCAAAATAGTTCAAAAACTCTATTGTTTTCCCCCCTAAATGCCTCACTCCTTCACTATAAAACCCCCTTCATTTACAGAATTAGATATACAAAAAACTGAGGAAAAGGAGAACACAAAAAAATTTATCAAGTGAACAACGGAAAATTTAAGAAGGAGAGGAAAAACAAAAATAGTGGAAGTTTATTCAAGCATCACAACAAACAATCAAGGTAAAAAGAGCTTGAGCATCAAGGGAGAACTTATTATTCTTTGAACCTCCATCGGAGAGACTCCGATAGGTATTTCTTCTTCCTTATTTACCTCTGCCTGACTTTCTCATATAATCATCAATTTGAATCTTCTTTGCACCACTTTTCTTTTGCCATATAATGTTTGATTTATCTTATTCATTTGTTGTATTTTTTTTATTTGTTGCAATATGTGGACATTTTAAGCATGGTTAATAATAATAAAAATAAACAAGAAAAATAGATTTGAAAATATTAGAATAATGGAAATTACAGAATTAGAGAATTATATTTGTTCAGCCACATTGCCTCCTTACCAAACAGTATATTCCCCAAACATCACATGGCTCATGAACCATAACAAAACCCTCTTCATAATTCCCTCCAGCCAAGTTCTGATATGTTTCAACGCCACCAGCAGCAAATGGCAAAGCAGAGCATCCAACAGGCCCAACTGTATTTCTTAAATCTTTACATACACTCTCAAGTTGCACAATCCAGCAGTCCCGCCTCTACTACTGCAGCTGCAACTGGGTATTATCTTTAAGGGCACGGCCCCGAGCAAGTGCAGCAACGACAGGGATCTGGTGGCACATCCTCAAATGGTGCAGTTGCAAACAATTCGAAAGGGAGTACCTTGAACACACAGGGTCTTCTGCATCCTTTCCATCTTGCCGCTCAACCACCCACGATATCTCCGTCTTCCTCCCAACCAACTTTTAACAATTCGAAAGATATCAACAGACAGGGACTTCCTAACCTTGTAGTTTCCAATCATCTAATAAAACCCTTGAGTTCTAACCAGTTGGTTTCACATTCAACAGGTTCTCAAATGCTACCGCAGATGACAAGATTTTAATAAACCTCTATTTTTTGACTTCGTTCTTCTAGGTTTCACTGACTGTATGTTGTTGGTCTGAAATAGAATGAAGAAATTGGTTTATGTAATTTATTAGAATTTCAAAAATTATAAATATTTTATATTTAGATATGATTTAGTTGTTAAAGGATCCCTCTCACCTCCACATTCATCCTCTTACACCGCTGTCGACCCAACCGCAACTACCAGATGCCGCCCGCTTACCTTCTCATCATCTTTGATCATCTCTTTGAAATGCCATGACACCTCCGTCTTCTGCACGATTCACACAAACCGAATATCCTGAATCCACTCACCACCTTCAGCTCGTCCTCCATCATCTTCATCAAGCATTGCTGCCTCCATATCCACCACACTACCATCTAGAATCACCCTTCACTCAATGAATCAACCACTTGTATCTGCAAGCAGATCCACAATTATCTGTCTAGATCGTCTCAATGCAACCCAGTAACTACCTCCGCCCATCTAACCTCCATCCGCCATTCGCAAAAACGACATCATCATCCTCATTACCCTCATCCTCATCCAGCCATTCAACCCATCATAATCGCACAACTATCCTCAAAGATAAATCGCACGACATCAGAAGGAATGCAAGGTTTTCAGGCACAGAAGTAGCATAGGAAAAAGTAGATCTCGAAACGGACAGAAAGAGAGTCGACGAAGAATGTGTAGACAGATATAATGAATTGGGGTACTTACGGTTTTGATTTGGGATGAGGGTAGCTTTTATTTGTTAATGTTTGTTTTGAATCGATGGAGCTGAGAGAGGCGAATCCATGGCATAATTGCTGCAGAAGCAGAGAGATGCGGGAGAGTATTGCAGAGAAAGTAAGGGAATATCGTGAGAGAGAGAGATGAATTTTTTCATTGGAAAGAGAGAGTCTTTTTTTTACGGTACAGCTGGAAACAAGTTTCAATGATAATAATAATGTTTAATCTTTCTTTTTCCTTCCCAATACAATACTACAACGGCACTTGATTTGTTAGGGTTACAATTTTTCTTTTCCTTATTCTTCTTTTAATCGGGTCAGCTCATTGGGCTACTGGCCCAATCCACTATCTGTTTTCCCTTTTGTTTTAATTAAATCATAATAATGACGAATAAATAATCCGGTTTAGTTGGTAAGACTTGTGTGCTGCAATCTAAAGGATCCGGGTTCTATCCCTTGGTGGGCCTTTTTATTTTGTTTCTTATTTTGTTAGCCTTATCTCCCCATGTTCTATTTTATTCTATAACAAATATTATTTCGTTCATTATATAATTATCCTTTATTATAAAAATACAAAAAAAAACATGCTTAATTCAAATTTACCTTTTATTTTATTTTTGTCAACATGCTATTAATCTTTTATTTAATTTTTGCTATTTATTTAATTATTCAAATACATGCTAATAAATTATCTTTATTTAATTTTTGTTTATTTAAATATATGCTTATAAATTAATCTCTTATTGAATTTTTTTTATTATTTTTGTCGCTCTAATTAACTTTATTCTCGATTGTTTAATCTTTATATCGTCCGTCCGTCTCAAATCCAAGAGAAATGTTTTAACTTTGTTGACTTCATGTCATCAAATATATTTATTACGATTATGCGAATCCCTTCATTCATTTTTATTTTACTCTTTTGCTAAACTTAAATTAATTTTCCTTAAAAACACAATTTTAAAACTCACACATTTTAAGTCAAAACTTTGACACTAGGTCGTCGTATCTTCAAAATATCGTCCAAACAAATCATTTTTAGCCAAACAAACCATTTTAATCAAACAAACAATTTTAAAAACAGATATTTCAAAAGGTTCCTGCAGAGTACTGCAGATGCACTGGGTGTTAATACCTTCCCATTGCATAACCAACCCCCGAACTCTAGATCTATTTTCAAATAAACGCATTATATTTTCATTTCTTTTAAGTATTATTTTACATTGCATACTTAAGGGTTTTATTTTTCTCTTTTCCCCTTTCCCTTGGAAATAATAAAGCGTGGTGGCGACTCTTACTTTTGTGAGTCGAGTTAATTAATAGCTCGATCTTCGATTTACCCCACTACATTTTTTATCGCTACAGTGACGTGCCAAAATAGGACTATAGTTGATGCAACATTTCATTCCCATGAGCGGAACATTGGGAAACTCAGCACAGCTTACAATGATATCTTTCACACCTATTATTTTATGCCAAATAATGTCATAAGAAGTGAGCTCCATGATCTGTTGCGACCAAAGAGACGAATCAGCGGTATCCATAAATGGTCCATTTGTGGGTAAATGCAACAAAAACCATTTATAGAGCAAAGGAATACATCAATGAACCCCTCCTTTTTTGCCATGTTTGGATTGGATGGTATAATGGTACCAATACGTATAGTTAGCATAAGATTTCCATTCATGAAAATAGAGATCGCAGCTAAGTCCATAAAATTATCCACAGCTGGAAAGAGGACTATACCATAGATCATGGTAGTTAGCAACACATTGAGCACGACCCAGTTCTTGTTCTTCGCAAACTCTTTAGGCTTGGGTATCACAACCTTCAAAGGAAAACCGCTTGTACCACTCTTTCTAATCCAGTTATCTTTCACATCGCTTAGACTCAAATAAAGAGCCTTAGTGATAGCTTCATAATCAGGAATCATCGGTACATGAACAAAAGGAATATGATTTGTCACCTCAATACCAAGGATATAAGCATATTCTTCCAGGGTTGGCGCTAACTGATAGCCTTGGAAATTGAAACATCATAGTTGTGGGTCATACAACTGTAAGAGTTCCACCTTGGCCCAATTCTTGTACCAATCATTCAACAAAGGCAACAGGTTCCCATAACTCTCCCTAAAGATTTTCTCATTCAGACCTTTCAACAAAACTCCTACTTCCCTCAACAGAGTCGGGATAAAACTTTGGAAATGATAACGAAAAGTCTTCTTGGTAATCCCTTTGTCTGTGACAGTGTTTCTATCCATCCTTGACAATAATGAAAACCTCATAATATCCTGGAAATTATATGCATATGCAAGTCAGGTTTTTTTCATATACATTTTTTATACATTTCTTTTTTTTTTTGTAAAAATAAATATGCCTTGATGCAAGTGCAATAACATAGAATCAAGGTTTCCACAACATTGGCTATTTGCTGTGTTGTTTCTGAATATGCCGAGAATACCAAGATCAAAGGTCCAGAACATAAACCAAAGAAACCCAAGTCACCAACAGAACATACGGTAACCATCGAAACATATAGTCACCATCAGAAAATATAGTCACCATATGTACCTGTAAAATCATTCCCTCCCCCCTCACGGGTAAAGACTAGGTCAAGGTAAGGTCAATGGTAACTCAGAGTCGTGAGTCCGTCTAGAGAAACTATCATCGTAACACCTACGTGATAACAATAGCTCCTAGCTTGGACCTCGTTTGAGCATGGAACACATGACTACACTAGTGTGAACCTACGTCTAGTAGCCGCCATGACTCCACTCTATTCCTATGTGTTCATAGTGGTTTACAACTCTGGCCTAGGTACTGGGCCTTTTACCTCAATAGTACCACCCACCCAACAAGGAAACACAGAAGATCCACACAACAACAATAACCAATATATGGAAAGTATTAAAATGCAATGCATACATATTCTCAAATAAACATGTACAAATGAGCAAGCCCTAAAGCACAAAGATAAACACCCAATGAAAAACAAAATAACAAAATCTAGGACTGACTCTAGGATGGACCAACATTTGGTTGATTTATTCCCTAATGAATTCGCCAGATGAAAAAATCGGTCGAACAATCATCGAGATAAAATTAATGAAGTCGCCATCGAACGTTTTTTATCCCACAGGAAGGGAAAGGTAAACATCGAATAAACCTGAGAAGGGTGAAACCAAGGTCTTGCGACCGAGAGATACGGGTAAGGGAGTAGATTACACAAGGGGAATGTATTATCACCCCTCACGTCTGTGGTACTCCATGAGATTCACTCTTGTTGTTCTAATCAAATGGTGTGTTCTAATCTAAAGCTTGTGAGCTAAAGGTAAAAAGCAAAAGGGAATGCATGCAAAAGAAAACATGGGGAAAAGAAGAAATATTTACAAAGTTGTGCTCGCTTAGGCCCCACGACCAAATGCCTACAGAGTGTCAGAGTTCAGCTTAAAAGTTTCTGTTTGTTTTGTATTATTCATGAACAATATTAATTTCGCTTTCTACTGCAACTCGACCTTTGGAGACTTATGTGTTTCCATAGAAGGAATTAACATGTTCTACCTTAAGAGGTATTTTCAAAATAAAAATGCTAGAAGGCGGATAATGCTACGTTAGTGCTCTATCAAGTAGGCATGGTGCCACTCGATCTTTGGGGATTTACGCGTCGTATTACACAGAGTAGAATTAACATATCCTTTTTAGAGTTTCGAAGAAAGGCCCGAAGGCGAAAGATTTTGAATTGGTTGAATATTTTTGTGGGATAATAGCGAATGGATCCCACTGGAGGGATGCATGCTACTTCTCCACCTAATTTCAAAAGGTTTGTAATTTGAACCGTAATAAAGCCCGAACGTGAAAATAGAGTGAGGCTCAATCTAAAATGATTTTCTCTATCCCCACAAGACTCAACTGCATATGATTCACATCTTCAATCATTAGATGTTTTAGAATTTTCTAAGAAAAAAGAGTTTTAGTCTTAATCATTCAAAAGGGAGAGAAAAAACATCTAAGGGAAACTATCTATCTCTATCCCTAAAGTTATCATACAATGATAGATTCTATAAATGAGTTTGAAAGGGAAACACTACCTAAGTTAGCATGTATGGTTTGAGATCCTAATGTCTACCTCAACTTAAAGATGAGTCGAGTGATCCTAAGGGAGCATATAAAAGTCTAAAGAAAAGCA